AGGTTTGTTACATAGGAAAACTTATGTCATGAGGGTTTGTTGCACAGACTATTTCATCACCCAGGTATTAAGCCTAGTACCCATTAGTTATTTTTCCTGATCCTCTCCCTCCTCCCCCCTGCCACCCTCAAGTAGGCCCCAGTATGTGTTGTTCCCCTCTATGTGTCCATGTGTTCTCATCATTTAGCTCCCACTTACAAGTGAGAACATTCCAGCCAATGCTTTTTGAGTGCTATGTGCTTACATTTTGCTGAGTGCTTTATGTTTATTCATTCAGTTTTCACAACTATCTTATGAACTTGTTACTATCATTGTCACCATTTTACAGATGAGAAAACTGAAATATAGAGTGATGGAGTAATTCGTGCAGGTCACATCAGTAGGAAGTAGGGGAGCCAGGACTTGAATTCAGGCAGTCTGACTCCAAAGTCTCTCACCAAACGATCATATCAGTTTTCATGTTCACACTGCACCTGGGCATGTATTTGTTTCTTGTACAAACTAGAAAGTGTCACCTACTTGAAGAGAAAAATGTCTCCCATAATGTGGATACATCAGGACACGAGATTTGCATTAGGCAACATGCTCATAGGTCCATCCTCACTGGGAACGTCTGGCGTGTGCAGGAAAATGGTTCCAGAGTAGAAGTCCCACCCCTGGTCTATCAGGGTGGCCTCCAAATATATTAAAAGCACAACAATTTTTGCGGCTTCTGCCGCTCTCACCCTGGTCCAAGGCACCACCATCAGGGGTTGATGTAACGGCCCCTGAAATGCTTCTACCAGTACCCTCTCCTGTCATCAGCAGGGCAGCTGGATCACATGTCTACTTGTTCCACTCAGAACAAAAGACAAAGTCTTTCCGAGAGCCTGTGTGATCTGTGCCCCTCCTTCCCACCACTTCTTTACTCCTCACCACCCTGCATCCAACCCCACATCCTTATCTGTGCCACTAGCCTTCGGATTGTTCCTGGGCAGGCTCACATCAGGCACATTATGCCTCAGAACCTTTATGCTTCATGGTCCCTCTGTTGGAAGTGCTCCCCTGGAAATGTTTCCTGACCCCTGCTGATCATTGCAGCACCTTCACCCATCCACTCCACCCACTCAGCTCTCTATCCTTCCTCCCTGCCTTATTTTTCTCCCTAGTGTTTATAATGACTTGCTCTTCCATCTATTTTACTAATGTATTAGTTTCTTCTTTGTCTCTGAACACTAGCGTGAACACTTTCTTTTTTGTCTGCTTTCTTTCCCAGTGCAATCCCAGAGCTGAGAATCCAGTGGGCGTTTTACAAATTGACTAAATGAACAAATGAGTGCATTGTGGAGTTGTTTTGGAGAATTAAATGAACTAATATATGGAAAGCATTTAGAACAAACAATGCTTAGCATGAAATTAATGTTTAATAAATGTCAGGTATCAATAAAAGAATAACATAATAGTTATTGAATGAATGATGCATTAGATACTATTACTTGTTCCTGTGGTGGGAAGAGGGTAATCAAGCTCCAGAAGTTTTAAATATTTTAATATACATTCACAATGGTTGCTAGAGGAGATAATGAGGGACATCATTTGTGTCCTCGTTTCCTATTGTCTGGGGGGCGTACTAAAATCCACCCTTCTCTAGGCAGGAGAGTGGTTCTCAAACTTTGCTGGACTTGGGAATCACCTGCAGATGTTTTTAAAATTGATACTGGTTTGCATCCCAGATATTCTGATACGGTTGGTCTGGAGTGTAACCCGGGCATTAGGAGTTTTGAAATGCTCCCTGAGTGATTCTAATGTGCAGCAAAGTTTGGGAATCACTGCCTTAAGCTTTTCACAGAGCTAGCAATAGCAGAAGGAAAAACCTTCCTCATTCCCTCTCTATGCTTGGAATCAAGAGTTGCGCCAACCTCGTTTCTAAAACACACGTGACCATTAGCAAGTCACCCAGCTTCAACAAGCTTTACCTTCCTGAATTTTATGTCTGCTGTGGAAAATGGTGAAGACACAGAATTCAGGGCCAGTTTCCAAAAATGTGAATTTTCCTTCTTCCCTCTCTCCCTTTCATTCTTCCTTCCTCCCTCCCTTCCTTTCTTCTTTCCGTACCTTCTTTCATCTGGAGATAAAAGGACAGAATAGTTTTCAGATGTGGCTCAAAAATGTCTTACTCTAAGATGGTGCTTTCTTACAGAGGAGACCAGAGAACCAAAGTGTCCACCATGCCTAGGTGGCCCCATTCTCCCACAGGCATACCCAGCCATGCCTGTTTCAGGTCCAGAAGGGATCAGTGTCTGAAGGTCAAGTTCCCACCCTTTGGGGCCCACTGTGGGAGTATCAGAGGTCCTACTAGTGTCCTGAGTTCTAGCCCTGGCCTCCTCACTTCTTCCCTGTGTCTTAGTGCCTCCCAGCCTGGGGCCTTGTCTGAGGCTCTTACCCTGGTCACTGGGGCTCACTCTGCATTGGTTTTGCTGGCTCACTCAGGGTCTAGAATTCTGTCCTCTGACATCCAGGCCTCTCCATCTGATCTCCTGCCCACCTGAGTTCTTCCCACCTCTCTTCATCCATCCCAAGCATATACCATATCATAGTAGCCGTGTCTAATCTATGGGTCCAGAAAAACACCTGAACCTACCCTATAATGCCACCAATCTCAGCGTGGACTTTTCTATTAACAGAATGGTGGTAGGACACTGGGGATAGCACACTACCGGGGCCAGCATCATGGATGTGTGACCCAAGCAATAACACAGGACCCTGGACTGGGTTTAATGTTCTGCTGTCTTGAAATTAGTCATGTTTGAATGAAAGGCTCCACATTTTCATTTTGCACTGTTTCTGCAAATTATCTAATGTGCCCCACACTTCAAATCAGAAGACCTGGTATGGATTGCACCTGGCTTACACCTGAGAAGAGCGTGACCTTGGCCAAGTTATTTTTCCTATCTTGGCATCTGCGAAGAAGGAATGAGTAGGGTAAAACTGCCTCCATCATAGAGGAATTTTGAGAATGAAATAAGGTAACAGACGAGTGTTAGCACATGGTGCACAACATGTTAGTTCTCAACTAACACTTCTCTTTTTCCTACCGTTCCACCTCCCGAGAAGCTAAGTCGAAAAGACACTTCCTTTCTATTTAAAATGGATTTTAAATGTTTGTTTTCCTAGATAGTGATATATACCTAAAGGACAGATCTTAGGAGGTTTTCATTGATCTTACCTCATTCTTATTAATTACACAGAAAGACAACAGGATTCCTTCTTTGCTATCTTTACTACATTGAATAATATGTTGTCCAGATGGCATATAGAGTAGCATCTTCCAAGATATTTTTAAATGATCTTCTTTTACTTATTGAAGAAGATTATATAGAGAGAAATTTGAATTAAACCCGTGTCATTGAAATAATCTTAGCTTACATTACATTAAGGAGATTTCTATTATTCAGACTAATAACTTTTCCCCAAAAGAAGGCTGCCTTGAACAATGTGCATGAGTAAAGACTTCATTAAGAGTCATGGGAGTGAATCTTTGACCCAATCCTCTGGCATACCAGCCATGGGCTCTTAGTGACAATAAACTAGTATTTTGATCTCAGTTTTCTTATTGGTAAAATCCACAAAATAATACCAGTTCTGCCCTCTCATTCTCAATTTGTATATCAAATTAGATATTTGTGGAAGTATTTTGAAAATTTTTGAATGCTATACAAGTTTCAAGTTGGGATTATTGATAAGACTTCTGAAGTTTATGTGTTAATGAAAAGATTCATTTGAACCTCTTGAAAATCTTCCCGGAGAACAAATGCCAAGAGCTAAGTTCTCAGCTTCTTTGGAAATGGAGATGTATTTGGAAACAGGATGGTGTGTCACCACCAAAATATCCACTTCAATTTTGCTGGGGCCAGAAGCCATAGGTATTACCTTCTAAATGTCTAAAACCCTCTGAAGTTATTTCTCAGCATATCAGTTATAACTAAATAGCTTTTCACAAAGAAATCTTTTTCTCTACTTATTAATCCAAGTATTAATGAGAATATACTATGTGCCAGATACTGTTCTAGGAACCTGAGATAAATCAGTGAATAAAACCGAGTTTCTTGCCCTCATAGAGTGTTTGTTCTAGTGTATAGAGCAAAACAACAAAAATAACCATAAAATTAAGTATACAGTTGACCCTTGAACAACATGGGGCTTGGGGCACCAACCCCACATGCAGTCAAAAATCCACATATCACTTTGGATGCCCTCAAAACTCAATTACTGATAGCATACTGTTGACCAGAAGTCTTACCGATAACATAACAGTTGATTAACACATATTTTGTATGTTATATGCATTATACTCATATACTGTATTCTTACAATAAAGTTAGAGAAAACAAAATGTTATTAAGAAAGTCATAAGGAAGAGAAAATACATGTATTAATCATTAAGTAGAAGTAGATCATCATAAAGGTCTCCATCCTCATTGTCTTCACACTGAGTAAGTTAAGAAGGGGAAGGAAGAACAGGGGATGGTCTTGCTGTCTCAGGGGTGGCAGAGGAGGAAGAAAATCTATGTATAAGTGGACCTGTGCAGTTCAAACCTGTATTGTTCAAGAGCCAACTGCATTCTACGGCACGTTAGCACGTGATTAGTGCTGTGGGGAAAAAAAAGGAGAAGGGTGTAAAGGGGATCAGGCATGTTGGGGAGCGGGGTTGCATTTTTAAAATGTATGGCCAGGACAGTCCTCTTCAAGGTCATATGTGAGCACAAGCTTGAGTGAGGTGAGGCTGGGCCATATGCACATCTGCAGGACAGGCTTTCCAGGTTGGAGGAACAGCCAATGCAAAAGCCTGAAGCAAAAGTGGCCCAAGTGGGCCATGAAAGAAGCATGACTATGGGTCTACCCAAATCTTTCTCACTCTCTAACAAAAAATAGGTTTTGAAATTAAAGAGAATATGATTGCCAGGCCAATGCCTAAGACATACATTGATGCCTTGTTTCTCTTGTATGTGCTTTCTCCACAGTCACATGACACAGGCAATCCCTTTTGACGACCCTCGGTTAGAGAGCTGCCAAATCATCCCTCCGGCTCCTCGGAAGGTGGAGATGAGAAGGGACCCAGTGCTGGGATTTGGTTTTGTGGCAGGGAGTGAAAAGCCAGTGGTCGTTCGCTCAGTAACACCAGGTAAGCACCCAAACCCGGTTCTTGGTTTCCTGGGACTGTCTGCCACACCCTGCCAGAATAACTACTGTTCAGTTTCATAAGTGTCCAGACTGTGAAAGCTGGATATGTTTTTCCAAAACCTGGATAGAGTCACTTCACCAGAGGAACAGAAATGCCTCCTCAAACTAGGTTTTAAACTGCCAAATCCATCATTATCACCTGACTCAGGAAAATACTGAGCCATCATCTATAACCATGGAAATGACCCACTTCTTAACTTATGAATGCAGACAATAAGAGGCAGGCACTGTACTGTATTACTGTAAGCCCATAATGAATTCCTTAGTGGAAAAAAAGGAGGAAGTGGTTACAGTAGGATTTAGTCACTGGGGTAGTTGGATTATCTCACAAGTATGCACTTCCCTCCCTTCTCATTAGAGGCAGAATAAAGGGAAATCCATACTCCATTGCTGTTGGGCTGGACCAGGTGATTGACATTGGCCAATGGCATATTAACAAAGATGACATAAGCTTGAGACATGCTTGCGCAATTGAGCCTGTTTCCTGAGCTTCTGCCATGGCTATAAGAAGAGAGTTTTTGGCTGGGTGCAGTGGCTCACGCCTGTAATCCCAGCACTTTGAGAGGCCAAGGCTGGTGGGTCCCTTGAAGCCAGGAGTTCGAGACCAGCCTGGCCAACATGGCAAAATCCCATCTCTACTAAAAAGACAAAAAATTAGCCAGGCGTGGTGGTGCATGCCTGCAGTCCCAGCTACTCTGGAGGCTGAGGCATGAGAATCGCTTGAACCCAGGAAGGGGAGGTTGCAGTGAGCTGAGATTGCGCTACTGCACTCCAGCCTGAGCAACAGAGTGACACCCTGTCTCAAAACAAAAACAAAAACAAAAAAGACGGACAGTTTTCCCCAGGTAGCTGTGACCTCTTCCATCTGAGCCCCATAATGAACACATGAGGCAGCAAGCCTGCAGTGGGGGAGCCAAGTACAGCCTCATCTGCAGTTTGGTACAGAACTGTCCAGCTAAGCCTGGCTGAAATCAGCCAGTCTGTGGTTATCCTAAAGACCCATAAGCACGAGAAGAAATGATAATTGGACACCTATTGAGCTTGGGGGTGATTTGTTATCCAGCAAATGCTGACTAATACAGTATGTGTCCAATCTTTAAAATTCTACAATATGATTAGATAATTAACGTACTTTCCCACAATCATTCATATTAGAGTATACAGATGTTCCACTGTCAACACAGCTGAATACAATGGACTATGATGCAATTGCCTGAAGTGGGCTGCCTTTGCCTTTCCAGAAACAATGTGCTTTTATTATTTATTATATATGTATTTATATGCTTACTGTAATGGACTCATATTGGATTTATTTTCAGTAAAAAAGGAAATTATCTTCCATGCCCTTTCTTCCCAGGATTTTGCAAATCAGTAACAGGATTCAGCAGTAAAGTACTACACTTAGGAGCACAGATTCTGGCATCAGACTGCCTGAATCTGACTCTTACCTCTGCCCCTTTTTAGACTTTTTAGTTTCCATGTTAAATTCCCTGCATTTCAGTTTGATGTAACTTCTCTACGTCTTCTGTATAATGGGGATCAGTGTAGTATCTACGTTGTAGGGCTATGGAGAGAATGCAATAAATTAGAAGAGTGCCAGGCACATCCTGGTCATTCTGTAGATGTTTATTTTTATTGTTATTGTTATTTAACTCTAAAATGTTTGGCCAGTTGAGTGTCTCAATTAAGGGAAACAAAAGTCAAGTAGTGTCCTGGTATAGATTTTAAAATTTGGTTTAATGTTTCATTTTTCATTATTTTGACATAATATGCCCCAGGGCAAACATCACAAATAACCACTTTAGACTTGTGCTATCTGCTAAACTTTTTTATTTCACTAAATATAGATCATATTTTAGTTCTCTGTATAGGATTGTTGAGCTTGATACAACTGAGAATTCTCAAAACAGATTTGTTGCTTCTTATGGTAACATGCTTTGTAAAAAAAAAAAAAAAAATAGAAACAATGTAGATAGTATAGAGGAGAAAGTAAAAAAAATCACCTGAATTCCTAGTACCAAGAGATAGCCATTATTGATGTAGACGGAGATAATATGTGTAGTAGATATAATTCCATGCATACACAAACACACATATGTATTACATATCAGATAATGTATTTTATACATACATAATACATATATAGAGGTATGTGTACACACATTTTTTCCTAAATGGAATAGTATTTGGCATGCCGTTTTATAACACTGGGATAATCTAACATCTCTGATTATGAGATCCTCCAAAGTATGTGTCTTCCCAGGAGCTGAATGAAGATTCAAGTCTTATTTTTTGTTTTTTGGTATCATCTCACTGTTTCTACAACCTCTCTCCTTCCTTGCCCTCAATTCTCCTTAGCTTCAAAGACACTAATACCTACTGTTACACAATTTTGAGATGAGTAGAAAAAAAGTAAAAACAAAGGTCAAAGAGTACTATTTCCAGTTATTTTTATGAGTGAAAATGCTGGTCAAACAAGCTGTGTCAGTCATAAAAATGACTCTACAGAAGTCCCAAGTGATTTCAGTGTGTGACTAGATTTTCTATAATAGGCGATCCAGACTTCAAAGTAAAGGCTATGAGACAGTTCTCTTGAAGTGTGCCACTGTTTCGTATTTTGGATGGGACAGTGTGTTGCTTCTCCAGAATTCTTGATTAAAGTTGCTTGATTAGACAAGAGTAGTTTCATTTAATCAGAAAGCATAGGTCAAATGTAAGAGTATGTTAATCTGAGAGTGGTTTTCTTATTAGAATAGTTAACATTCGTCCTTCAGTTACTTTGAAAATTTTTCTGTATTTGATCAGCATTTGATTGCTAACCATTTGTTTGACTGAATTTGAGTGATTATTACACATAATTTAAACTTATTATGTTTCCCAAGTGGTTTTTCTGAATTCCTTATGCGTGCAAACACTGAATCCCACATCTGTAAAATGAATATTTTCTATCAGTAATGTGAGGACATGTTAAGGTTCCCCTACTCTCTTACTTCCCAGAAGGAAGACGAATTTATGCTACAGCTTGAATGACACATATGCCTAGTGTCTGGGTGGGGAGAGAAACACTGAATTACTTTCAGTTCCATGTTCTGGGTATGAAGTGTTCATTTCAATTACTAAATGAAGTAATAGCAATAATATTTGAAAGATAGCGTTTCAGCTGCAGCTATCACGCAGCGTCAGACCTGTGGAAATATAGTTAAAATTATAGTACCATATGCTACCATATCAATATTTGGGAGGTAATTGCACGTGTCTAGAGCATAATTCAGGTAATTGATTTTAGATCTTACTTAAATACAAATGTATGCTTTACACAGATGTGGTTTTAAGTTTATGTGTTAAGAAACCTGGCAGTGACTAGGTTCTGAATTATAGAAAAAAGTTCAAAAGGGACATTCGCCATTCTGAATTTGGAAGAGTCCAAGCTAAGATCTAGTCCTTCCTTCAAGTCAATTATTTAACCTATGTGAGCCTCAATTATCTCATAATATGGAAGGGATGATAGTATTCAGTGAAGTTACTAGGCCAAGAATTTAACCCATTGCCTGGTGCATAATAAGTGCTCAACAAATATTAGTTTCCTTTTCCCTTCTTGGAAACAACGGAAAGAGAAAAGGGCCAGGCACAGTGGCTCATCCCTGTAACCCCAGCACTTTGAGAGGCTGAGGTGGGAGGATTGCTTGAGCCCAGGAGTTTGAGACCAGCCTGGCCAATACAGTGAGATCTTGTCGCTACAACAAATAAGGCCGGGCGCCGTGACTGACGCCTGTAATCCCAGCACTTTGGGAGGCCAAGGCGGGCAGATCACGAGGTCAGGAGATCGAGAACATCCTGGCTAACACGGTGAAACCCCATCTCTACTAAAAATACAAAAAATTAGCCGGATGTAGTGGCAGGCGCCTGTAGTCCCAGCTACTCGGGAGGCTGAGGCAGGAGAATGGCGTGAATCCGGGAGGCAGAGGTTGCAGTGAGCCAAAATCGCGCCACTGCACTCCAGCCTGGGCGACAGAGCGAGACTCCATCTCTAAATAAATAAATAAACAGACAAAATTAGCTGGGTGTGGTGGTGTGTGCCCACAGTCCCAGCTGCTCAGCAGGATGAGGTGGGAGAGTTGCTGGAGGGATGCACATGGAGCTGTGAGGGAGGAAGGGGACACCCGCCTAGCCAACCAGATCAGCTGAATCAACCCTAGCAATCAGTGGGGTGACAGATGTCACAGCCAGATCACCCTCACATCTGAACACCCTCTTACTGAGATATCTTACGATTCTCCACAGTATGCTGTCTCCCTACTTGTAATAAGTACATAAATGCACCTTTGTTTGAATCCAGCTGTGCGGAATTGTTGCAGCTTTGGCCTCAGGGTATCAACACAACTGATTGGCTACCTGTTGAGAGAATAGCTCCTTTTAGGGGCCTCACCACACATACACACACAAAATGGTCTGTTGACCAGCAGCATCAGCAGCACCTGGGAGCTTGTGAGAAATGCATTATCTCACCCTGCACCCCTGCATGGTAACAAGATCCCCAGGTGATCCACCATAAAGTGTGAGAAGCGCTGCTAGACTGAGTCTCGGCATGGTAACAAGATTCCCAGGTGATCCGCCATAAAGTGTGAGAAGTGCTGCTAGGCTGAGTCTCGACCTTGCTTGTAAAGTTTTAGAAAAATGCGGATGCTTGGGTCCCATCCTGAAAGATTCTGATTTAATTGGTCAGGGTACAGCCTGGGCCTCAGAATTGTCCAAAGAATACCCAAGTGTGGTTGGGCTTCGGTTTTGCTGATAGCACCATTTGCTCACAGTGAATCATGATCAGGAGAGGGGGCTTGGGATAGGTTGCCAATGGTCTTCTCATCTGTGCTTCATTCTCATTTATCTCCAGGTGGCCCCTCTGAAGGCAAGCTGATCCCGGGAGATCAGATTGTAATGATTAATGATGAACCGGTCAGCGCTGCACCCAGAGAGCGGGTCATTGATCTGGTCAGGTGGGTGACTCATTCACCTGTGTCCTGTTCTGCCTTGAAGGCTGCTACACAGCTCTGAGGTCTCAACTAGCAGAGGAAGAGCCTCCAGTGGGACAATTTAGGACAGAAACACAAGCCAACACATCCACACGATTGAAAATGCTGCTGACACTGACCTGTAATATCAAAACACATGCTCCATAAACAAAACTCCTAATTGTCCACTCTCTGTTAACATTGAAGGCACGAATACCTCAGTTTAACATTTTTATGACTCCTATATCCAAAGGTTCATTTTTTCCTTCCAGAATTACTAACACATTGATTTTTTGTAATCAGGGAGATCAAAACACAATACCTGAATTCAGCGTAAGTGATGAGTAATTTTATATACCTAATCCCATGGATATACAAACACAGTTCACTGATACTTCATATTTGACTAAGTTCTTCATTACTGAATTTTGAGATTATCAACTATGGCAATAGGATAATTAGGTCAAAGCTAAGAGTTTACAAAATACACGTGGTTTATTGGTTTAGTTTTATTGTGGATGTAAGTAGTTTGTTATGTGATATTCTTAATGGGGCACCAGAAAATGTATTTTATGTCATGTTAAAACTATTGGTCAAGAATCCCCTTAGAAGCCCACTGGAGTTATACTTCCTTAGTGAATTTAGGGGAAAAGAGATCTTTAGAAGTTTTTCAAATGAAGAAGCTGGACCTATCGTGTGAATGGATCCATTCATGCTATAGGAGTGTTGACGAATAAGGAAACATGACATTTGTCTTTTATAAACTCGTATTTTCAACCAAGATTGAAGCCAAAGCTAAGGTTACCAGAACTCTTTTCACTCAAGAGGGGATTTCCTAACATTTATGCTTACTCATTACAGAAAGTGTTAGGTTGGTGCGAAAGTAATTGCTGTTTTTGCCATTGAAAGTAATGGCAAAAATTTCAATTATTTTCGCACCAACCTAATAAATCTGTACTTTGGAAAAGGCATTAAGTGGAGTATTTCTGGGGTCTTTCAGAGAAAGTCTCTTTCTCAAGCCTAGTTCAGCTTTTGCTTCACAAAGAGGTTCTGGAGGGTCAAGCAGTCTTGGAAGAACTGGGAGAGAAGCAAAAAGAGAAATAGAAAGAGAAGGCACTTACATTTAGTGTAAGCAACCATCTCAGTTTTAGCATTTAAAAGGCCCATGTCCCAGGGAAACTCTGGAATGGTTGGTCACTGCTATGGTCTGAATGTTAGTGTCCCCTCAAAATTTATATGTTGCAACCTAATACCTAATGTGATTGTATTAATAGGTGAGGCCTTTAGGGAAGTGATTAAGTCACGAGGTCTCTGCATCATGAATGGGATTAGTATCCTTATAAAAATTTGAAGAGAATTGCCTTGCTCCTTCTCCCATGTAAAGACACAGTGACAAAGTACTGTCTTTGAGGAATGGGGCCTTTACCAAACACCAAATCTTCTGGAAGATCTTGGACTTCACTGCCTCCAGAACTGTGAGAAATACATTTCAATTATTTATAAATTATTCAGTCTAAGGTATTTTGTTGTAGCAGCTCAAACAGACTAAGACAGTCACTCTACTTCAGTCTGGGCTTAATGGAGTCTTCCCAGATGGCTAGAAAAGTCATACTTGTACTCCTGGGGCATCCAGATCTCCAAAGAATGGTCTTACACGGGAGCAGACACTGAGACTTGTGACATATTCACTATGCATCAGGAACAAGACCTGAGAACGTCTCCAATCTTTCTATGGACAAGGGGAGCCAGAATACGGAAAGAATCTGTATGTAAGAGCCCTTGGTAAGGAGCTGCAGTGTTCATTTGGAATAACTTCTCTCTTGAGATGCGTGTGGGTGTCAGCAGGGGCATACCTCATCTAGATAGGCTCTGAGCCTTCTGGAATGCCATGTTTGGGCTTGATGGCAGAAGTTGCATAGACATTTTGTTTTCCCCTAGGTGCGCACCTCTGTGATTAGTCCTATTGATTTTTGTGCCTGGAGGATGATAGAAGAAATAAAATATCTGTGTTTAGGTTGGCTGTGACTTAATTGCCTGCTGCAGGACAGTGACAGAGAAAAACCTATCTGAAAGTGTGATCATTTCCTAGCAATTGTTCCAGGGATATTTAGAAAGATTATATCCAAGAAAGATATTTTCTTTCTGGTTTAACGCTTATAGAAGAAAATGGCATATCTATAAACAAAGCACTCTCTATAGAACTTTACATATAATATTACATGTAATAAAATAAGCCAGTTAAAAGAGAGGATGGCAAACAGCTCCAAGTTCAAATCCAGCCTGCCATGTGTCTTTGCAAAGTCCATCAGCTAAGAAAGGTAGATTTTTTTAACCATTTTTTAAAAGTTGAAAAATGTATTTTGTGACACATGGAAATCATATAAAATTCAGATTTTAGTATCCGTAAGTATTTTAGTGGGTTTAGCCATGTTTGCTCATTTGTGTTTTATCTATGTCTGCTTTCCTGCTACAACAGAGTTGAGTAGTTGCAACAGAAACTATCTGGCTCACAATCTTTTCACTCTCACTAAACCACAATGTTAAAATAATGTATGTCTTTCTAATGAAAATGATCACACATTACAGAATATTCCTGTGCCTTCCCGTAAGTTTAGTCATCTGTCTGCCATAATGTGTACTAACCTAAACATTTAACTCTTGTAAAAAATCCCCTTTTTACTGGGCTCCTCAGCTGATATATGTTTTAAGGTCTATATCTTACACAAGACAAATTCCCTTTCTGTATAATAAAAAAATCCCATTTTCTTAGCCACTAAGGAAATTTGGAAAAACACTCATCATTTTGATAACACTATAAAATTCTCTCTTTAAAAAATCGGCATCCATTTGCTTGCTTTAGTAGTGTAGTCTTGTTTTGTTCCTTTTCCCCCATTGCAGCATGTGTTCATGGATCATTTTTTGTTCCCAGATCCATTTGTGTTTCTTGGTGGATTATTTTTCTTATCATTTGGTTACTCTATTATAGAAAATTATTTTTTCTTGAGAAAATGAAAGAGTTTCGCAGAGACCAATTTACTGATATACTAACAACATTTTGGTTTTTTCATGTAGTCTCAAAAAAGCTATAATTGCTGCACCAAAATTAGATGAGTTCTGTTCACTTCATGGTCTTCTAAGTTGTTAACTCTAACTCAGACTGTATAATGGTGTTTGAGGATGAAAATCTTTGAAGAATCCATGCCCTTTACAAATTACCATATCTTTCTTCTTTAAAAGTATCTAAGGATAATTTTCTTTTCACAATTAGACTAATTAACTGAAAGCAGTCTCCAAAATTTTATTTTTAAAAAGTAAGGAGTATTATTGCCCATAGAAACATTATGAATTGTGCCTTGCCTTCCCACTCCCATGGCTAGCCAGCACAATTAAATTCGTTTGACTTCAACAAGGAATTATTGAGGATTAACAGACATCATATAAGGCAATGAGCATGTATAGATACATAGGCATGATTCTTGCCCTCAAGGAGAAGAATTCTAATTGATTTCCCTATATTTATGACTGGACAAGGCTGTTGGCGAGGTTAGTATTTGGTAGGAATGTTTGGTGGAGATGGATGGTGTGTTAAGGGGTATTATTGATGGTGGTAAAGAGTAGCCATCAATGCGAAGTGGAAGGGCAGGTTTATGCATGAGAAGGGAGTTGTAAAATAGATCTTTCCTTTGACTCTAGAAACCCCAGACCTTCTTGATGGACACTCACTTTCCAACTTGCAGATATTTAAAAAATCCATTGCCTACGTGGCTGTCCTGAATCACCACCTCAAAATTTGGTCCTTCAAGGCAGCAATATAAATCTACTGGCTCCTGTTAGAATGGCTGCACTAGACTTTTTGGATTAGAGAAACAATTGGGAACCTGATAAATGCCATAGACTTTTCCCCCATCCAGAAAAACCCACGTGTATACAAAGTTCTGCGTACAATATTAGAATGGTTTTTGACTCCCTAAAGTTAGTCCCAGTTTTAGCGCCGGGGCAGCAGACTCTGAGAATGCTGAGTCCCTTCCTCCCCTTCTCCCACTTCCTCAGTACCAGATGATAACATTGAAGAATCAAGCATATAAACAACTTGATCTTATCCTTTTCTATGAAAGCAGTTGAAGTGGAAAATTGCCCATCCTATAATAAGAAGGTGCAATGGTCAAACTGGAGACTAATTCCCCTTTCTCCCAACATCTGTAATAGGGCAGCTAACTATTCCTCCATCTGCCTTCTCCCACTACTTATGTTGATTATTCCTGCTGATCTAATTGATGAGCAGTGTTATAGCTATGGCTATTTATCTACAGAGGGTTGCTCACATCTGTCAGACATGTCACCCCTTCTATACTAATACCCTGGGAATTGGAGAGCTTTCCTGGGTAGCAGTAGTGTTCTTTCAATAAGAAAGTAACTGTAATAAGAAATAAGAATAAATGATAGGGGAGTGGCATTAACAAGGTAGCAAAATGAGGTCCCCCACTGGTATCCCCCACAGCAATTATAATTTGGCAGCCACCTATGGACAAAAGTGGCTTTGTGGGAGCTTTGGAATCCAAATAGGTCACTAAACCCTGGTGGAGCCTAAGACTGAGGAGGGCCATTTTGAGAAGGCAGACACACCCAGGCCTTGGTGGCAGACTCACTGACTATGATCCCAAATACAGACCCAGAAACAACCACATCCCCCCGTGGAGTTGGCTACAGCCTGGTTTGGCCTTAGTCCTACTACTGGCATTATCCATCAAGGGACCTGGGAAGAGTCATACCTACCTAGGCCTTGGGTAACAGATCTGCTGACCTTGGCCCCAGTTGTGGGCCCTGAAGTGGCTTGTGACCAAGCTCCAGCCTCTCTCAGCCATTGTCTGTGAGCAGTCCCACCTGTCCTGGGACCTGCTGGGAAACAGGCCAGTTCATACCCCCAGAGGTAGGCCTAATGAACTTAGTTCCACAGATTTTGAAACAGCCCCATAATTCAGCTCCAG